GCCGTCTCCCCTACCCGCCCCCTCCCACCCCACCACTTGCCGTCTCCGGACCGTCCCCCCACCGGCTTCTCTGGCCACGGGACCCTGCGGCCATGACCCGCACAGCTGAGCGGGGCCCCGAGCCCTGCAGCACCACAGACACGGCGGAGACCCGCTCCTTCCAGACCGGGCACCCCGAGGGCGGAGAGAGGCGCCAGCGTGCAGGCCCCCCACGGTCACTACCGACGGCCCCCCACAGCCCCGCTCCCCTCAGGGGCGTCGGCTCCGGCCTCTCCCCGCCGCGGGCTCAGCGCCCCCCCCACCCCCCCCCCACCCCTCGCTGCGCGCGCTCGGAGGTCTGAGACCTCAGCTCTCCTGGGGTGACCGCCCCGCCCCAGGGGTGCTCACCGCCGTCCCCGCCGCCGCTTCAGGTCTCGTCCCCGCTGCCGGGGCCCTGCGCCAGGCCCTGAGACCAGCTCCCGCGGCCGCTCCGGGCGCCCCCGCAGGCCCCGTCCCCGCCCGCCCCAGGCTCCTCCGCCCTCGCCCACCGCTCCCGCCCGCGGGCCTCCCCCACCGGGGCCGCGAGGGGCGCAGCTGCTCCGGGAGCCCCGCGGCTCGTCCCCGCGGGCAGGGCTCCGTGCTCGGCGCCCGCCTGGGCTGGTCCGAGCGGCTCTTTGAGACTCTCCCGCCTGCTGCGGAGAACCCCCCCACCCCCCAGCACGCTTCGGGCACCCCGACTCTCCTCTCGGGGGCACAGAGGGGCCCCTAGCGCCCCCTGCCCCAGCGCCACGAGAAGGCGCCCCCCGCCCCCAGCCGCTGGCGTGGCCGTGAGCCCCGCCCTCCGTGGGCTGCCCCCGTGCGCCGGGGTTCCCAGGGGGGCGTCGGGCTCCTGCTCCCCGCTGCGTCTGCGGCTCGGGGTCCCGGGCGGGTCCCAGCCGGCAGCTCGCCCTCCCTCCAGGTCTCCTCGGGCCGCTCCCGGGCCGCGTCCACCTTCTGGGGGCCGCGGCGCCTCCAGGGTCGTTTCCCACCCCGCCCGCCCGGGTAGAGCTTGGGGGACGCTCACCCTAGACCTGCTCTGAACCGGGCCAAGTCCGTCCGCTGCCCCCCCCCCCAGGCGCATCGTCCCCCGCAGCTCCGAGTCGGGGTGCGGGTCTGAGCGGCTCTTCCAAGGGCGTCGCGGGCGTCCCGGGTTTGGGGCCGCGCTCCGGAGGCCGGGCACGCGGGAGGGGGGTCCTGGGGCTCCGGGGAGGGGTCCGGGGCCCCGGGCACGCGGGCGGAGGGTCCTGGGGCCGCGGGGGTCTCCGGGTGCCCCGGCACGCTGCACCCGACTCTGCGCGCTCCCCGGCGCCCCCGCGGGGTCCGCTCCTCTTCCGCCGCCGCCCCCGCCCCGGCCGCGGAGGCGCCCCCTACATGCTCCGCCCGCGCCCAGGGGTCCCCGGCGCCCGCCCCGCGCCCCGCGCCCGGGCCCAGGTGGAGGCCGCAGAGCCCCGGCGCGGGCAGAGCGGCGGCCTGTACCCCCACACCCCGCTCGGCCCTGAGCCCCCCGCGCTGTCCGGGATCTGCTCGGCCTCGCCCGCGAACATCGCGGCGTCTGGTCAGTCTTGGGAGAGGCTGAAGAGCCGCCGCCGCGCGGGTGCTGCCAGCGGGGACTCCCGGCAGCTCGGGGGCGCCCCATGTCACTCTCAGGCGCCTCCACGCAGTTACCCCACCTGCAGCTCGGGGGCGCCCTACCTCACTCTCGGGGCGCCTCCCCGAAGTTACCCCACCTGCAGCTCGGGGCGCCCCACCTCACTCTCGGGGCGCCTCCCCGAAGTTACCCCACCTGCAGCTCGGGGCGCCCCACCTCACTCTCGGGGCGCCTCCCCACAGTCACCCCACCTGCGGCGCTGCGCGTTTCCACCACGGTGCTCCACATGCGTTTAACCAAAATATTCCCGGGACTCGGCGCATCGCCCCAAAGTGAATCACCCCGCTCCCACGTGGAATCCACGCCCGGCCCATTGCACCCCCACGCCCGCCGGGACAGCCACCTCCCCCGCTGACGACGCTGCTCTGCGGCTGCGCCCCCGCCCCTGCTCTCACGCCGCGACGGCTCAGCGCGCCCCTGCACTGGCGCTGCTTCAAGAGTCATTGACTGCGTGTCCACGCGCGGTGTAGACCAGAGGGGGTGCACCAGGGGAGTGGGCAGCCGAACGGGGACCTGCTGAATCCCTGGTTCGGGAGCAGCGGGGGGCAGGGGGCGCTGCGCGCTCCGGCCGCGGGTCCAGCTCCGGGCGGCGCGGCCGCGGCTGGACGGCGCCTCCTTGCCTCCCGACCACACCCCGTCCCCGTCGCAGGGGCGCGCTCCGCCCGACGCGCCGTCGCCTCCGGTGACCGTCGGGGACGCCTCCCCAGCCCTGGGCTCCTGGGAGTGGCGTCGCCGCGGCGGCCCCGTTTCCGAGTGTGGGGGAGGGGAGCGCGGCTGGACGGGGCCGGAGGGCGGCGACCGTGAGACCCGTCCTGCTGGGGCGGGGGCGTGCGTGCACCCCAGGGGGGCGGGGCAGGGTGCGCGGACGCAGGGGGCGCCGCTCAGCGGGAGACGGGGGGGCGCAGCGTCCCTCACTGCGGGGAGGGGCCGCTGCGAGAAACGGGGAAAGACCCCCTGTGAACCGCGCTAAAGCTAAGTGGGGGCTGCGGGGAGTGGGGGACAGGCGGTCTGCCAGCTGTGCCCACGGCACCCCGGGGCCAGTCTGTGTCCCGGCCCGTCCTCCCCACAGCTGGTCGCCCCTGATACCCCCTTCGGCCGCCGCCCCCGTCCTCTGACCCCAGCCCCTCGCTGGCCTCTCGGAGCCCCTTCTTCTCTCCAGGAACTGGACTTGTCCCCCGCCAAGTCAGCGAGCATATCTGTCTTGGTCATTCTCACTCGCCGTCCCACAAAGTGGGGACCCCGTCACCCCCAAATCCGCCCGACCCCGTGGGCTCCGCCGTCCAGCGCCCGAGACGGACACCCGCGGTGCCGCGGCCTCGGCGGAAAGGGCCTTCACGCAGTCGGGGCGCGGCGGGGCGGGGCGGCCCCGGCTCCCGTCCCCCCCCGCGGAAGGCGCAGCGGGCGGGCTGTCCCGAGGCGGGCCAGGGGGCCCGGCACCGCCCAGGCCAGAAAGGTCCCGGAGAGCCCGGCCCCCCCGCCCGGGACCCCGCCCCCGGCCACGCCCCGTGACCCAAGCCCCGCCCCGCACGCCAACAGGCCCCGCCCCGCCTAGCCCCAGGACACCCCGCCCCACCCTAGCCCGGCCCCAACTCCGCCCCGCCCCGGGACCCAGGCGACCCGGCCCCGCCCCGCCCCGCCCCGCCCCGGCCCTCACGCGCTGTCCCAGGCGCTGACCCCGGGGGCGGGTCCCGGCGCGCTGCCCGCAGCGCGGCTGGGAATGCGGCCCCTTCTCCTGTCGGGGGGCGGGGTCCCGGGGAAGCCCGCGGCCTGGGTTGGGACTCACCGAGCAGCGTGGCCGCGGCCGGGCCCGCGGGGGCTTCTCGGCGCGGGCGGCGGAGTCCGCCGACGGGTCCCGCGAGGCCCCGGGGGTGCGGCCGGGGGCGGCGGGAGGGCGCCCCGGGACCCCTCGCGCGGTCGGCGCGGGGACAGCGAGGAGGGGGGTGTCCGGGCCTCCCTCGAGCGTCTCCCCGCACGACCTCTGCACTGCCCCCGCGTCCCGGCCGCGCCCGCGAGGCGCAGGGCCGAGGACTGGGTCGGGCGGCCGCGCCACACGCCCCGGCGTCGGCGCCGCCCGCGCAGGAAGCCCCGGGCCGGGTGGCCTCACGCGGGGCCCGGGGGCTGGACGGGGGCGCGGCGGGCGGGCACGCGCGTGGGGGGGGCGTCTGCGGGGACCCGGGAGGGGCTGGCGCGGGGCTCCCGGGCCCCTGGCGTGCGCGGCGGGAGGCCCGTGCTCTTCCGGACCACCCCGGCCGCTGAGCGGCGGCGGAGCCCGAGGGTCGCCCCTCGAGGAGGCCGGGCTCGCCTGGATGGCGGCGCCCGCTGCGGCCGTTCCCGGGGAGGCCGCTCACCCCCCACCCCCCCTCCCCGGTGTGGCCCGGCCGGGCCCCTCCGACGTGGCCTTCGCGACCCACTCGCGGTGCGGCGCGCGGCAGGGACGGAGGGGGAGCGCGGCGCTGGGGGGGCGCTGGGGGGGCGCTGCGCAGGCGGCGGGCGGCAGGGGGAGGAAGGACGGGGGAGGGGGGCGCCCGGCGACCAGGGGGCCCCGACCCGGCTTCCTCCTGCCTCGCGTTCGTGCTCACCTGGCAGCGCGGGCTCCCGGGCCCTGCCCGTCCCTCCCGCGGACACACGTGGCAGGTGCATTCAAAGACTTGGTGGCCCTGAGTTTTCTCTGCAAAGTAACGAACACGCAAGCGTATCGCGCTCCATGCAGGCGTCAATGAAATGAACCTTCTCTGGGGTCCTCCTGGCAATTTGAAGGGATCTGGTATTGAATAGACTTTCTGCGCAGGGACTTCCCTCAGCAAAGTCAACACGTGATCATCCCTCAAACAACTGTCTTTCACCGTTAAATTTTTTCTCTAACCTGTGTGTTCACATAACAATCACCTAGAGCAAAAAGCACCTTCCCCTTGACAAATGTATCAAATATCTTAAAGTTACAGTGAAATGTAAAAATTCACTATGTCTGCTCCATTTACCTTTCAATGAGTATCAACATTTGTTTTCCCATTGCTCTTTCTTACTTTGAGAGATACAAATATTTCTCTGTAGAACTTTTTTTTTTTTTTTAAAGATTTATTTATTTATTTATTTATACAAGCACTGGGTACAGTCAGAAGTGCGGGAGGGTGAGAGAATTCACCAGAGACAGAGCAGGGAGCAGAAAAGACAGACAGACAAAGTACACTGCTGAGGGGAGCAGCGGGTGCGGCAGGAGAGGTCTGCATGCCATGTGGGATCCTCGCCAGCGGCCGGGGATTGAACCAGCCCTGCAGAGGCTGCAGGCAGCTTCGCAGCCCAGCGCTCAACCACTGCGCCACCAGGGGAGATCCTGATAATGGGAATTTTAAAGCAAATTTAAGTATTTGATTACCCATGTGTTAGAAGTACGGATGCATTCATACATACAAGTAAATGCATTCTGGTTCAACAACTGATTTAATGTTTAATGGGATAGAGACTTTAACAAAAAGCTCCATTTCAAACTGTCTTCTTCAGAAAAAAAGCATTTAGATGTCTCCAAGCCTCCCAGAGTTTCCCACAGGCACCAAGCATGTCATCTAGAAGTCCAGTTCTGGGTTAAGTGGAAGCCTATCTATGTCCATCAGCAAACTCAGTGGCAACCTCCCAGTTCCAGCCATCCTTTGTGACCTGCATTTAAAGAGAATAGCAAATAAAGTTCATATGCATAGTTAACTATTTAGGATGCTATTTTGTTAGCAAGATTCCCTATATGGTATTGTATATACTTAGATTTTATAATGTTCAGGTGGAAACCTTAAAGAAATCTTGTTTTATATTTTTTAAAGATTTATTTATTTATGCATACAAGAGCTGGGGTACAGAGCTGGTGTTGGGGCTGAGAGGATTCACCAGAGACAGAGTGGGGAGCAGAACAGGCAGATTGAATGTGATACACTGCTGAGGGGAGCAGCGAGCAAGACAAGAGAGGTCTGCTGCACCATGTGGGTTGCTCCCTGGCTGGCCAGGGATTGAACTTGTGCTGCAGAGGCTGCAGATAGCTTCACAGTGCCGTGCTTAACCCCTTTTGCCACCAGGGAGACCCTTGTTTTACCTTTTTTTTTTTTTTAAGATTTATTTATTCATGCATACAAGAATTGGGGTACAGGCCAGATGTGCGGGATGGTGAGAGGATTCACCAGAGACAGAGCGGGGAACAGAACAGGCTGACTGACTGAAACACTGCTGAGGGGAGCAGTGGGCGAGATAGTAGAGGTCTGCTGTGCCATGCGCCATGTGGGATTCTCACCAGCCGGCCGGGATCGAACCGGCACTACAGAGGCTGCAGACAGCTTCACAGCACTGCACTCAACTGCCTGCGCCATCCAGGGAGGCCCCTGTTTTATCTTTTGAAGAAGTAAAATGTGAACTTTTTGCCATTGGATGACTGGAATACTGTAGTTTGTGGTACCCAGGCCAGTGTCCTTGATTTTAACATAGCATCACATTGATATATTTATTCAGACTCAACAGAGGACATTGTTTCTATTAAAAATAAGTAGTAAATAATGGAAAAGTAAGATATTAGAAGCACTACAAGTGCCTCTTAATAGTATGTGTAAATATGTTGATGGGGATACAAACTTCACATATTTAGGGAACTGCAAACACAGATTCCACCTCACAAATGCACTGCTAGAAATTAAGATCAATCTATGGCAAAGGTATACCACTGGATATGTAAGAGGACAGTCACTGGATTATTTGTCTTGAGGTAGGAATGTGGGTTAAAACCATCAAATGTCAATGAATGGGTGTCAGTTTATGACATTCATGCAATACATTACCCTGGAAATGTTCGCTCATTTCCCAGCTGGATGCTGTTGATTGGCTTGGTCCAATCCTCTTCTGCCTAAATAATTGAAAAAAACAGGATCAAATTCCATTGGGTGATAAATCCTTTAGAGGTTTTTAGTATTGATTTTAGAACTAAACCTACTGGGGGTGGGATGGGGAGACACACACACCAGCATTCACTCCATTTCAGATAAAACCCTGACCTTTCATAGCCTTTTCTGGATGACTTGGAAGGAAGACATTTCGAAAGAACATTCAGTTCTTGGCAGTCTGTGTAGAAGAATCAATGATTTTGAGGACCCTGAGGAGCATTGCTGGTTTAGTAAAGGCATAATAACAAGTCAACAATCAAGCAAAATCTTTCTCCTCTGAACCATCACATTCTATGGTTTCTGAATATGGGGCAGGGCGGGTGGGAAAGACTTTGCTGGCTCCCTGGAAATGCGGCCTCCGGTGTCTCCATGTCAACATTTATGCCCTATTTGGAACCCAGGCCATTACTGCAGGATGTCCTAACATCCTGAGCTACCACTAACTACCTGGGTGAACTATTTTCCAACTTAGAATTTCAGTTTTTAAAGTGGGTCAAATCCAGGGGGACTTGTTACTATTCATATTAAGTCAGTGAAAATACCACTCAGATTAAAGAGTGTCATTGTGTCCTCTTATTATGTCAGCCCGGTGGCCTGCCAGCAAGGGGATAGGGTGGCCCTCGTAGGAAAGAGCCTAAGATATAGAAGTGAGGTCCTGGGTTTGGCCACCTCTGGCCCTGCAGTCTCTGGAGTGGCTGGTTCTTTACCACCTCTGCTGCCCTCCCGGCCCTTCACTAGCTCTGCTTTTCCACCATCAGCTGGGTGGATGCACCTATAACACAGGGTGATGTTGGCACTCAGTGCGATCATAATCCAGAATTTGGTAAATTTTAAAAAGATGTGCATTATTTTTGCACTGTCCACATTGCATTCCTTTTTGTTGAATCCCACCTGTTTTGAGAACAAAGCTAGAGTGGAAGCAGCTGTTCAGCCATTTACCTTGAAAAGCCATCTCTCCTCCACCCCTACTCCCTTCTCCAGGCTGCTGGCTCTTACCATCAATCTTCCTCCTCTGGACCCCAAGACCTCTGACACCTCAAGGAATCCTGGGGAGCCACCAGCTTCCTGACCTCAAGGAGGGCCTGTTTCCGCTCTGTGCCACTGTTGGGGGGAAAACAACAACAAAACTCAGTTGCTCACTTCCCTGGGGCTCTCTTGTTCCTGGAGGGCACCAAGCTGCTCTGTGAGCTCACCAGGTATTTGGAATGGATGCTTGGGACAGTTTGGAGAAGCTATTCCCTCCTTGTGGCTGGTGCAGAAAACACGGACACTTTGTGCATCCTGTGCTCCCTGGACTTCTGTGCTCCCTGGACATCTGAGCCCCAGGTCTGTGTGCCTCATGCTGCTGCCTGGCCCCCCTGTCAGTACATAGCCCCTGACCCATCTCCAGAACCTCACCCCTCTCCTGTGCACCACGGTCACTGGGCGGCTGCCCGTTGGAGGAGGGCTTATGGATAGTCTCAGTACTTAGTTGAGTGACTTTGGTTACTGCCATGCTGTTTACAGAGTGGTGCACAGGAGCAACAGATTCTTAAGACAAAGTTCAGTATCTGCCTAGCTGTGGCCCTCCTGCCTTGGCCGTGACCACAGGGAGAGGCTGGAGTCTTATCAGGTTCTGGAGCATGGAAGGAATTTTCCTGTGGTGCTATTGCATTGCTGTGGAAGCGGAGGTGCCAACCCCGTCCTGGGGGAGGTCTTCGGGTTGTGCTGGGGGATTGAGGGGCTGGACTGGAGGTCGTATTCCTTTGTTCTTGGTTGGCTATGAGGCTGGCCAATGCCAAAATTTGATTTCCTTCCTTCTGGCCTGACTCCTGGGGCTGAAGCAAACCAGAAACTATAGGACCCTTGATTTCAAGGGTTTTCTTCCTTGAAACATTGGGCTGCAGGTGGCAATCCTGGGAAAGGCTGTCCTTGTCCAGCACAGCCACAGGGGAGGGCTTCTCCAAGACGGCGTTGCCCTGCCCCTCCTGCTGTTTCCAGTGGAGTATGAGGTAAGTGGCCATGATGTAGTCAAACTTCCTTTCCGCTACAGAGCTGTGGATTTCGTCCTTCTCAAACCCCATGGTGACCATGGCTTCTGTCATGGCCGGGTCGTGGTGGTGGTAGGACAGCTCCCTGAAAGCCAGGAGCTCCCTTCTCATTTTAACCCAGGGGTGTGTGACGAGGTCTTCAATGCTGCTCCGGGCCTGGGGGTCCAGCACCAACATTTTCCTCAACAGGTCCTCACACTGCCCCGACAGGTAGGCGGGCACGTGGAAGCAGCCGCTGGTGACGCGCTGCCTGAGCTTCCAAAAGTTGTCCCCCACGAAGGGCAGCGCCCCAGTCACCATGAAGTAGAGGACGACGCCCAGGCTCCAGATGTCTGCGGCGGGGCCGTAGTGTCGGTGCAGGCGGTAGATCTCCGGGCCGCGTACTCGGGGCTGCCGCAGCACGTGCTCAGCTCCTGGCCCTTGCACTGCACGCTCAGGCCGAAGTCCCCCAGCTTCACGTTCTCCTGCCGGTCCATTAAGATGTTCTCGGCCTTCAGGTCCCGGTGCACCACTCCTTTGCGGTGGCAGTAGCTTAAGGCAGAGAGAAGCTGCTCGAACATGCCTCGGGCCTCGCTTTCCGCCAGGCGCCCGTGGTGCTGCAGGTAGTCGTGCAGGTCCCCGCCTTCCATGTATTCCATCACCAGGATGAGCTGGCCCTTCGTATCCAGCACCTGGAAGAGCTGTACTATGTGTGGGTGGCTCAGAGCCTTCATGTTGCACACCTCCCTGGTCAGGGACTCTTTGCTCACCCACCAGGACTTGCGGATGACCTTCAAGGCCACCTCGGTCCCCGTGAGGCTGTGCCGGGCAAGCTTCACCTTGCCGTACGTGCCCTCCCCGAGGGTCCTGAGGATCTGGTAGTTTCGGATTACAATGTCCTTAGAACCAAAATTGCAGAACATAGTGACCCGGTGCCTGACTGCACTCACTATGATGCCCAGCAGCCTGGCTGTGCCAACCACCGCTGCACTAAATGTCAGCTGCTCCCAACTATGATTACTGCATTCACCAGTATTACCTGTGCTACCTGTGATAGGATGCTATGTTTATTAATATAATAACAAAAAATACTCACAAAGCTAACTAAACTACATGCAAACAATGCTAACAACTATACTAGCAACTAACTATACTAACTTTACTAACAACACTAACTGAAAACAGAAAAAACTAAATGAAATCACAACCAAAAAAATTAAAAATGAGTCCCACAGGTCACCACGCAAAGCTTCCTGGCTCTTAAGGACATAGCCCCTGGTCCAGGCAGGGCTTATATAGGCTTTGTGGGGTCCATCACAATGCCTCCTTACGAGGTCAGAGCCAGAGGCAGACAATCAGTCAGAGATAAACCCCAGTGGCTTTTCAGGTTTTACAATGAAGCAGCTGCAAAGAGGTTTGTGTTAGAGATTGAAATTTACCCAATTAAATAAAATCTGTAGAATGCTTCAGAGGCCATTTCATTTCTAGTTAGAAAATCTGTCCTAGGTTTTGGCTTTTAAAGGTCTCTTATTACATTCACTTCCTTAAACTCTGATGGGTCTCAAAATCAACTGACATTTATGTACTATGTTCTGTGCATAAAACTTGACCATTCTTAACATCCTAACATTTAAAACTATCTAGGATATAGTTTTCCTCCTATTTTTGCCAATGAGATGAGCATGTTTATCAGCAACCTCACAAGGCCAAAGGGCAGTGGGCAGCTCTGGCAGACCAGTAGATGCTTTAATTCATGTTGTGTAGCTCCCCTCTTCCCCAGATCTATTAAATTTCTGTTTTACCTGCTGGTTCAAGTGCAGAGGCCCCTTCTCTCCCTGTCAAGAGTTGTAAGCCAGTAAGCACAACACAGTGTATGTAGCTATCCCAGTGTATTGCCTGCCATGGATGCACTGTGCTGTGTGTGGCACCCTCTAACCTGAGACAGACTGGGCTGGGGCCAGCTGTGGGTGGTCAGCTCCCACTGCAGGTTTCTTGTTTAGAAATATCCCCTTCTTGCATGAACTGGGAGAGTTTGTTGGCAAAGAACAGGTCCAGGTGCTGTGACCCTGAGCCCGCCAGGGATCCCATTTGCTGTGGGATCTTAGAAATGGTGGGTACATGTGAACAGTGGGGGAGGGGGTTTCCTGTAGCTACTTGGGCTGCAGACTTCCCTTTCACCCCTCCAGGCCTACTCTGTTCATTCATTCACCAGTATCAGCTGAGTACTGTGTCTCACCTGAGCAACCACAGTCAGGTCCCTGGAAATGCAGCCAGAGTCCCAAAAACTCAGAATCATAGGCTTAGGGGGTGTTGGGACTGAAAAGCCAGAGCTGGAAGAGTGTTGCTCCATCTGCCGCAGTTCACAGATATGGAGAATGAAGGGTGGTGGTTTGTCTCAGTGAAGGAGGATGCACAGGAGGGGTTTCCCACTGGGTCTGTCTCCCTCTGAAGAACCTGATCTTTCAGGAGATTTTGATGGGTTCTACTGCTCCCTCCTACAAATACTCTCCTCACTTGTTTTCTGAGCTACCACACAGAGCTGTGTTTCTGGCCGTTTCTTCTGTTTCATTTGCTGATTCCAATTCTTTCAAACATGCTTGAATGTCTCCTCCTTTTTTTCCTTTTCTTTTTGTCCCTTTTTTAAAAAAAAAGATTTATTTACTTATGCATACAAGAGCTGGGGTGCAGGCCAGAGGTGCAGGGGTTGTGGTGGTGGTAAGAGGATTCACCAGAGGCAAAGTGGGGAGCAGAACAGGCCAATTAACTGAAATACACTGCTGTGGGGAGCAGTGGGCCAGACAGGAGAGGTCTGCTGCACCATGTGGGTTGCTCCCTGGCTGGGGATCGAACTCGTGCTGCAGTGGCTGCAGATAGCTTCATAGTAAAAAGACAACCCCTTGCACCATCAGTGAGGCCTTCTTTGTTCTGCTTAACAGAACTAATACTTTCTATGGCTTTGAACATCATATGTAGATTGATGATTCCAAAATGTCTAATTCTGGCCCAAAGCTCCCTAGAACCCTAGAACCAGAGGACTGTTGCCTCGTCATCACCTCCACTTGGATGTTTCAGTGATCTCAAGTATTACATGGCCACAATGAAACCACAGACTTGCACTCCCACCATCTCCTCCCAGCCTACACCCCCATCTCATTGTACCCCAACTTCTTCCTTGGTTACTTTCTTCCTCATCTCCCATATTCAACTCATCATTACGTTTTGGCTACATTTCAAAAGCCTACCAGCAATTCCTTAGTCTCCACAACTC